CTTACCTTATTTGGAAGTTCGATAGGAATGGTTTTTGTCGATTTTCTCGACTTTTAAAGCTTGAAATCGTCGGAAACTTGCAGATATTATAGCGAAAACACTTCTAAACAATCCGCCATTTTGTTTGTTTCCATATATGGCATGGATTCGCTAAAKKAAKCCCAAAACTAAAAAGCACAGGGAACCCGCACGAATGATATACAATTCTTTGATATGGAAGCGGCTCTTATAAAGTTATGGTTGTTGTTGATCTTATAATGATCTTATTAGGGAGTACTGCCTCGGGAGCCATAGCAACAACGACTAAACCTAAGAGGTTGTGTTGCTCTACGCCCCATAACGCTCGCTTTGATAGACAGGCGTGCATTGCTGTTTTCTGCAAGCAGCATCAAGCAAAATCAAGCGATTTCTTAACTGTAACTAACATATATCTGTATTTTTTCTTACTTAGGTTGACAGATAGTTGAGCCGTTGCTTCAGCTGGAGCAACGCTCGGTACATCTACTGGAAGAGTAGCTCTACAGGTGTAGTTCATCTTACAGACCACAGACCTTAAGTTTGGATCTTTTCTTTTGCATTTGTACGTAGATATAATGTCCTGGGCGGAGATAAATTCTACCTTGAGAGAATCATTTGTTGTTCTTTGGATTTTCGTTGAATCATTACGAAACCATTCAATAGTTACCGATGTTTCGCCGATAACTGTGCAATTCAGTGTTTGAAAGCTTCCTTCAATACTTGGTAATGTGAAGTTATTGGTATTAATAGCAGCCTTATGTGATTTTACTGCAATAAATATCATTTCGGCGATTAACTCTTTTATGAAACACTTACGTTTTTATCAAAATTTAACCATAGCAGCATCTAATATATACACTGAAAGACATCAAAAGAAAAAAATTAATCTAACACATAAAATCTGTTCTTTGCAGTTACAGCTATTCCCTCTACTGAAGAATGCATTACATGATTATACAATAGGGCATACCAAAGTCACATCCATACAGGTCAAGACGGATGCAATTCCCGCCTTTGTTTTTCTGCGGAATTATTCTGACATAACGCGCTGCTATTGGTCGACCCAGCCAATTAACTATGACGTCATGCTTGTTGGTGTTCCCAATGAAAGCCTGACATCAAATATAAAGAAAGTCAAGGAACATTTCTTGAAAAAAAAAACCTTAGAAAAAAATCCTTGGACAGGACAAAAATATGTCGTTATTGTTTTTATGACTTCAACTTATTACCTTTGTAACATCTTGTTCTGTATAATTAAGCCATAAGTCGCTGTTAATAGAGTAAATAAGATTGTATGAAGTCACCCACTTGTCCTTCGATGGATACCCGTGTGTTGCTATTCCTGTAACAGTCTTCACTCGACCCAGGTCAACTTGTATGTATTCGGTGTTCGAAGATGTTGCGCTGCACCATGCAGATTTGCCATACAGAAGACCTCGTGATGCAACATGGGAACTGTCTTTTGACGACGATGACGTCATCTGAGGGTCTGAGATTCCTCTATTCTCGACACCAAGTGGGTTGGTACATACTATTTGCAAATAATAACATATTTGGCTAGAATCTCATATTCAACCGTAAAGCAACGTTTTTTCTGATGTTTAGTTTGAAACTGTACCTTCTGGAGTTCCTTTAAAATCAACCCTTAAAGCTCTWTKCCATAACGATCCTTTAGGAACCACTCGAACAAACTTTGCTTTGAAGGGGTACTTGATGACATTAGTTACAATGGTTTCTTTGTCTGAGTTTCCTGGGAAAACCTGTTTTGTAATAATTATAACGATTGTGGTATGTTCAGAATGCCATTGTACATTGCGTTTATCCATATGTTTACATATAAAAAAACTCAATTTACATAGAATTAAAACTATTTTTATCCACTGAATGTTTGGGCAATGATTTCATCAAAAAACAAAACATCCAGAACAAATTACAAAAACAAAATACACGCGAGGAAGTTTTATGACGTAGATGTGATTGTGATAGTTAGAGTCAATTTCGTATGAGTGGGAAACGGACGGTACTGWACTGTAACCGTAATCGYACTGTAACCAAATTCTAGTGTCTCTTTGGTTCACAAAAATTGTACAGGCTAGGTCCGGTGTGCGGTAACCGTGCGGTAATTTCTACCGTTATACGTTTCCCACTCATGCGAAATTGACTCTAGTATTGATGACTCTGATAAGTACAACTAGCTACTTCTTCTTTAGATTGAGAAGTTCCCTCTAACAGCGAGAATCTCACTTAATTTCCTGACACTGGGTTCAAGCGCCGTTTGTGATTGTTTGTGATTGTACATATCTAACACTTTTTATCACTCAAGAAGAATACTCCAGTTTCGAATTCTATTTTGTGCAAGCTCAGCTGCAATCAAGCATGAATATTTATTGTCTTCTTTGTACACAGAGTGTTTGCATAACAATAGGATCTCTGCTGAATAAAAGAATATATTACGTGCTTTCGGGTTTCGAGGTTAAGGCTTCACAAATAAGATCTCGAAACTGGAGTACTCTTAGATTTGTGCTACTCGTCGTCTCATAAGCGAAGCCGTCTTTTAAGTGAAAGCATATATGGTAGAAATCAAAGAATCCTTCTTCAAAATACCTTTTCTTTTCCATCAAGCTTTTTATACGTTTTCCACAATTTATTATCATCGGAGTATCGTAGTGAATAGTTTGTGACCCAATATCTGTGAGTGGGATCACCCTGAGTCAATACGGCACATATACGGAATATTTTACCCAGATCAATCTCAAGGTATTGAGTACTCGCTTTAGCACTGGGTCCCCACGAAGAAACACCTTGTAATCGAGCCATGTACGGACGATMATATWSACCWTMAGAKGTAGCWTTAAAGCGGTGSTTTGGTATGATTAATGCACTAGGAACACCAACACTGTGCTTTGAACACGCTGAAGAAATGAAAACTCATCATAATTAAAGCGTAATAAAATACAGACAAATACTTCGGTAAAAAAATTGCAGCTGAAC